AGATCTCACTTCTTCACTGTGTGTCTGCAGCCTTTTCACTGGCTCAAAGACAACACCTGCTCACATAGATTGAAAAGCATTCTGCATCAATGTTGGCTTTGTTGGAATCACAAACGCTGCCTCCTTTACATTCAGCTGTTCATACATCTCTCCCACTGTGAAATTATTTCGTTTTTTATTTTCTTTCTCTGTGAATTTACTTTGTCCCGGATCTTCTTTGTGCCTGTGTTCAAACAGAAACAGGGAAGTGTTGAAGTTGTTGTGTTCATGTATTTTTGTCTAATCAATGAATGAGTGTTAAAGTGAGAAAACTACACAAGCAGAACAAAAATATGATAATTGAACTGGAATATTTTTAACATCACAGTGACTTTCATAAACAGAACATTTCCAAATGACAGAAAGCTTTTGAAAGCAACACATTTTCTTTTATTTCCTCCATTTTCCCCCAATTTCCTGCAGTGAAGATCATTTCAGACTGTTTGCTTAGTTACTGTTGTTATGCCTGTATGTATGTCAATAAAGAGCTCTGACAGGAACTTGGAATAAAAAAGGAAAATAAATATGTGACTTACATATTGTCAGAGAGATAATGATGAACAGCACAATAATACAAACAGGAGTGCCGATGATCAGAATCCAATCAGGAGACGACTGAACTGTGAATGAATCATCTGAAAAGATAGAAGAGAGAACAGAATGACATTATTGAATCAAACTAGAGCTCAACAGTGACAATATGTTTAATATATTTAGAGCTCTTTATAACCTGGAACATAGATGTGTGTCTCTCTGGTCTGGTTGATGTCCTTCTGTTGGACTCTACAGGTGAAGTTGTTGCTGTGTTTCTTCTCCACAGTCACTCTGCTGCTGACAGTATAGAGGTCATCAGGACCTCTGACTGTCTCTGTAGGTCCAGCAGAGAGGAGGTTTCCCTCACCGTCCAGCCAGACCAGCTCAGGCTCTGGATACCAGCCTTTAGACTCACACTGTAAAACTATTCTTCTACTGTTATTGGAGACAACCTCTATGATGGGAGTGGAGACGACACCTGATGAGAAGAGAGGAGGAATTTCAAACATTGGATTCAGATCCAACAAATAACTTACAGCACTGTTTTCTTTGTGTCTTATCATGGCTGCTTACTTCTAATATAAAGTTACATTACTGATCTTTGCAGTCAGCAGAAATGTGTAATTCATCATCTTCAGAAAGTCTGACTTACCAACAGTGAGTTGGATGGAAGCTTTCTTCGACATTGATCGAAGGAAGCAAAAGTATTTTCCTGCATCAGAGATTTTCACTCTGAAGATTTTCATGGAGACGTTTCCATTCTGCAGTTCATCCACAAACAGTCTTGTTCGGTAAAAATAAGATGGATTTTGAAATAGATTTGCAGGTCGTCCATCTCGGTGAACATGGATGTACTTTGGGTCTAAACCAGGTCTGGTCCACTCCACTGTCTCAGAACTGGCACTGATTGGAGATTCAAGGTAACATGGTAGAATGACATCATCACCAGGCAGGGCTACGATTGGTTGATGTGAACAAATCAACTCTGACTGCTCTGCAACGCAAACTAAAGAACAAACAAGAAACAGTAGTATAGTTATAATACATGTCATCAGACTGAATGGATTCATTTTTACTTTCTAAAAGTAAGAACACATTTAATAAAACTGCATCAAAAACAAAGACAATCGACCGCTGGAGCCTCAGAGTCTGTATCTGACTCACACTCATCACAGTTTGAGCTTCAAGCACAAATATCAGACAGCATCAGCAGTGAGAATATAAACAGCAGCTGACTCTCTGTAAAGAAATTTACATTGACTGGAGTTTTTAGGGGCAATGATGATCATCAGTCTGTCACTTTGTTTAGTTCCCATTATATCTTGTAGAAATATTCCTGGTTCCCAGAGAATGAATTCCTCTGACTTTTCCTCCAGAGTCTCTGAAAGTTCAAACTTTCAGTTTGTCCAATACTTTATGACCAAATATTTAAAAAGCATGTTAATATGCTGAACTAAGATGATGGACAAGTTCTACCTGCTGCAAATTGTTATCATTGTGAGCATGTTAGCATTAGCATTAGTATTAAGCTCGAACCCTTAAGACACAAGAACATATAATGAATGCATTAATTTTGATGTGAATGATGTCCCTGGGTTTTTGTTGTTGTTACAGAAATGGATAGAAGGGATTGGAAGGTTTTTGGATCAGAAACTTAGTTGTGTCTTCTGCTTTCCAACACACACACACACACACACACACACACACACACACATTTACAGAAATCACCTTCACAATTCTGTATTAGCAGCAAAACACTGAAGGTCTTGAAGAGCAGTCCATTACTGGGTGGCATTGTGAACTCTTGACAATAAAAAACAAAAACAAAATCCCTTAATCTGGATGTTTAAAAAAAACCACACAATTGAAACACATGTCTTTACTTTGTGGAAAATGAGATCAACCAGGGTCTCTCTTCTTCTCTTCTTTCTGTCTCAGTGAACTATATGTGCACTGGGTTTTGCTCCTCATGTGATGTGACTTCCTGTCAGGCAGACACAGACCCCAAAGGCAGCTGAAGAACCAACCTGCCATTTTGAGAGTGAAAGTGCCCCTTTCCTGTCTTTTTCTTTGAATCTCTTCATTGTTTCCAAATATCAGGTCGAGGTTATTGTTGCTCTCATGTCTTTTTTACCCTCTCTCTCTCCTGCTAACTACCCCAGTGCAACACCAGTGAGCACTGTGTGGGCATCAGCGCGCCCCTGTATGCACATGTGTAAGCAGTCAGAGTGTGATGGGTTACTTTGAGGCAGAGATCACGTATGTGGCCAAACAAAGTGTAAACATACTGTTCATTTACATTATATATTGATGGAGAAGCACTTTAGGAATTACTTTGGGTCCATCAGCTTGAAGTCAGCAGCTCACAATGTGACAACTAGCTGTTTAGTTAGCTTGCTACCTTTTGTTATAATATGGGAGTCAGTTCTTGTGTCTATCCTGACTTAATCACTCTCTCTCAGGTCTTATAAGGAAAACAAATATATATATTGTTTGATATATTATTTGATCATGTAGTTGACTGGTGTCTGTAACTGCATCATTTTTATGAGGGATGATCGATATGGATTTTTTTTCAGCTGATACGATAACCGATAATGATCTGCTTCTGTGGCTGCATTTCTAAAATGCTTTAATCCAAAGCTGTTTAGTATCTGTCTAGTGCCGCCGCCATTACTGCAGTGTAATCCTGAGAGTAGGTAGTTTGATTGAAGCCAGGCAGTTGCCCCCGGTTACTGATGAATGGACCTCTTAGCAGTATTCAGATTGAGTTAGTTCAGTATTAGTTGAACGTTTGTTAGTAGCTAGAAACAGAGAAAAAAAGTAGGAAATTGGTCTTGGGCTTGCGTTCAAACGTGCACATATTGTTCGGAGATGCTACCGCAGTAATGGCGACTTTGTTTGCTTCTATAACTTCCCCCGGATGCATGTACACCACCTAAACTGCAGCCACTTACACTGCAGCTAAATACATCCTTTAAAGCCCTCACATGTTAACTCCTCAATCATTTCACAGGAAATTAACTGTTAATTATTGAAAAGAACTGTAACATTTATCCTTTAACTGTTAATAGTACTTCATCCTGAAAGTAGATTATTGATTAAATGAGTAAAATACTGATTAAGGACTATGTATTTTGTGGTAGTGCTTCATTTACTGACTGTTAGAGTTCTTCCTCCTCCACTGTTGGAGGATAAAAACATATTTAATCTTTCACTTCATCTTTCAGAGTTCAAAGTTTTCAATAAAAGGTTTGTAAAATAATTGATAACAATATAAAAATACAGACTCAGTGTCTACGTAACAGTGTGAGTCCACTTTATATAGACTATAATGATATCACAATAAACAACACAGAGAGTTTGTCCATAAAATAATCTGCACATTGTTATAACAGTCAAAGAATGAAATGATGACAAATCCAACATTTAACATTCAAGTTTTACTTTAAAAAGAAACTCTGACTTACAGCGTGATGTTGCCCAGACATCTCGCCCAGACAAGAACTCAGGAAGTACGACCATACCTAACATGAGATACAGGAAATCCTCTGCAGAGAACAACAAACAACAACTCACTCTATCTCCACCTCTCTCACAATGTGCTTTAGAGACATACAGTCATGTCAGTTTGTCACAAATATAATAAAATAACCTTCTGTTGAAATCCTTCAACAGACAAACAGAAAACATGCTGCATAGTTCTTAAATCTCCAAAAGTAAAACTCTGAGCTCCACCTCAAGCTGCTACAACATCAAACTCTGCATCACTGTCAGCACATTGAACACTTCACACTCATTATTCAAAATAAGAACCACCAAACTATGTTTCACTGCTAATACTGCTTTATATTGACTTAAAATGAAGGCAGGGACTTTTAAACTGCAGTATTTAAATTATCTTTCTGGGCTTTGACTACTTCTACTCAGTGTTTAAAATATTAATATAAGACTTCTTCCACCACAGTTAAAGTGTAAAAGTTTATATTTAGAATATGTTTGATAGCTCATCATTTATGTCAGTCTCACATTTGAAGATAATAAGCTGTGACTTTGAAATGTACAATTCACTTATTCATCTCCATGTTGTTTTTAAAGTCACACTGTCACAATGAAGCACTTCCTAGCTGTATTCACGTTTCATCCTGTCGAGTGACACAGAGGTGAAACGCAGCTGTATCGTGCTCATGTGCCTGTTTTTGGTATTGCTTTAAACACACTTCCTCCCTCATTCCAAATGTGAAATACAATGAGCTAAGTGACCTGTCATGTAGGCCGTTGTGCTCAAGAAATGAAGATTCATACGAGTAAATGAAGACGCTAAACTGGGTTTTTATAAATACTATATTACTATCTGTCAAAAGACTTCACACATTTCAGCCATATCAAACACAACATGCACCTCCATCTCTGACTGAAGGCTGTGGGTTTGCATTAGGTTGCGTATTTCTTGCTGCTTAAATGGGGCATAGTTCTTATTTCCTGCCCACTTGCAGACTGTGCATGGGGTAAGCAAGCTGCAACCTCTGTGGCTGCAACCAGTAAAGCAAATGTGTTTACAGCCTGGTACAAGAAGCAGTACAAATACTCCACTCATGACAACTATAAGTGAGGTGAATCTTTATATAACTCACCTGTTTAAATGACATCAAGGCTTAAAGTTAAGTCTGTTAAATTGAACACTGATTTAGTAAAGTCGTTCTTCTTCCACCTGTTCTGCCTCAGTGTCTGCATTTGGGTCTTCAGTCCTATTGCCTTGTAGACACATCTGTGACAGAGGCTGCTGAGGGTGCTACAGCCTATAGTCTATAACCATCTGTTTTAACAACATTTGTGGAGTGATTGTATTTGTACTTACCGTAGCCAGTGTGTAAATCATGATGTGCTATCTGGCTATAACACAGAGTGTCAGCAGGAGTAAGTGACATCCCACAAGGGACTTTCTGTTCACAGACACTCTTTTCTAAGGAATAACCACACATTACACCATATGGTGGTAGAAAGCGATACTGCACATGTCTCCAGTGTGGCTTTGAACTTATGTGCTATTGAAATGAGTTAAGGCAGATGATTCTACACATTAGTTCTATTCATTACTTTGGAGAGCTTGGATATTTACTCATATATTGAAATGTATGTTAAGGCTTCAGTATTTATTTTATATGAATGTTTCACTTTATTTAATTTGCATGTAGAGCTTTTATTAACTATATTTATGCATTGTATATTTAAGGAATAGAAAAGAGGACAATAAGTCAACATTTGTTATTTTCATTGACTTTACAAAAGCTTTTGATTTTGACAAATGAGCCACCGTGGCATTTAAACTACAAGGATGTGGGCAGTAGTTTCCTTTTGCAGTGCTACTGAAGGTTGTATTAAATTAAAATTGGTTGATTCAACCCTCATCCGGGGTTAAACAGAGGGAGGATTGGTCTCCCACACTTTAACTATTTGAATGCACAAGTCAGCTCATTTATACAGACTGAGGTATAAAGTAAACACTGTTGAGTGTTTAGTTGTGTCTGTCAGAAAGCCTGTTGTGCCCTCTTGTGGCTGTTCATAAGGAGACATATTCCTGCAGAGGAAGAGGAGAGCTGCTGATAGAGGATGAAGCAGTTAACCCCACAAAGCCCACTGTTAGACCCCAGGCAGCTACTGTAGTCACTGGTGAAAATGTGTAGCTTAATTTACCTTATTATAGTGCAGATGGTTTTGGTTGGACTGAAGTCCTTACCTGCATTGAACTATTATTTGTTTTTCCCTAATATTTATAATCTGTGGCACATGAAGTTGTTAATGTATTGGTGAATATAGAAGGCATATAAGAGGGTTGTCAAATGGTGCAGGATGAAGAACTGAGAGTTTGCATGTAGTGAAAGGCACACAAGCTGCATTAAGGTCATGCTGATACTCAGTATGGGCCACTTCATAAGTCTTTTTTTCCTCCTTAATTTTATAAAGACTATGGTCTAAACCTGCTCCATATGAAATGTCCTGAGATGATTTGGAACTAAATGAAATTCAGTTGAATTGAATCAGTATTGTCAACTGAAATGTATCTTAAACTGTGCAGTCTAACTGGTATGTTAGTACTTTAAATTGGGGACTGTATAGAATGACAGGGGTCCCCTGTTGAATGGTATGGAACAACAACAAATCCCTGCTCCAGCCTGCAGAGTCAAAGCCGAATATGGATTTAACACTCACACACCTTTAAGTCCCCTGTTGGCAAAATTTTAAAAAGTTCACAAGAGCAAATTACACATGATTTTAGGTCGATTCAAAGCATGTCCAAGAGGGGACCCCAGAAAAGTCCCCTGTTTGTGGGTGTGTAAGGATGCTAAGGTGCCTTGTTAGATAGGTAGGCGAGTGCTCACACACAGGCGCGTACACACACACCTACACACACACACACACACACACACACACACACAGATACCTGTTTGGCAGTGTCATGGTCTCCTGCACTCAGACAGGTCAGTCCCAGTCGATAGGGGGCCTCTCCTTCAATCTGTTTGCCTTCAGTTGAAACACACATCAGAAACATCAAAGTCCCAACTGGTTCATGGTCTAACAGAAGCAAATTCATACTTGTACTACAAAAGACACCAAGGATTTTAGAGAGACTTTTTAAAGTCTTTACAATGAATAAAGGTGAAATGAAGAGAGCCCTACAGTACATATAAACAGATTACACTTGATGGTGTCTGTACTGGTACAGGAACTGATGATCTGTCTATAAGGTGTGATGCCAAAGGGAAGTGGACTAAATGCTCAGCAGATCTCATGGTGCAGAATGGTACTTATCACTGGATGTAGGGTATCTATTGGAAAACTAGAGGGGATATACCAGTGACGGAGTGTCTGGACGAAATGGCTAAAACTTTCTATGTTATAAACTGATAGATAGATACATGAAGATTTGGGGCCCTTATGCTACGGCAACATAATGTGCTGAAGACTTGCCCCCCTTCCTACAACGATATAATGTCAGGTTTTGTATATGTATAATTCACCTTCTGCTCCAGGAGGAAGATCAAACTTTCCTGTTCCATAAAATACAATGAAGGCTGCAGGTAAACTGTTCTGTTACAGTCTGAGGTTGCTGAAATTATCTGAACAAACTTCATACATCCATGAACACTGTGTGATGTGGCTGAAAACTCAAGAAAATACCAGTAAGTGGACCTTGAGTGGGAACTGTTTGGTAGAACTATTTCAACATTCTTTTCTCTTTAACTTTTAAGCCAACAGTCAGCCTAGCCAAGTCAGACAACAAGAAGCTTTATTTAACATTTCATGATGACAATGAGGCAAATAAAAGCAGACAATTACAATAATATGAAAACAAAAACAAAACAAACAATAAAAGATTATAAAGCTTACAGTTAACAGTTAACATAAGGGGCTAAGCTCACTGAACTGCTGCAGGCCCCTGTGCAACTGCATCATCTGCATATACAGAAGTTATGCTGCTGGTAGAGCAGGAAAAGATGGAGAATATCCTCTAGTGTCACAATGATTTCCTCCTTGTTCTCGGTCACTACAGGAGGTTTTTAGTCCACGTCGTTCAACGCAGCGTCTCTCTGTGTTTTAAAGTGTCTTCAGTGTTACATTTAATTCCTCTGGATCCTCTTTATGTCTGTGGGCCAACAGAATCAGGAAAGTGTTGAAGTGGTTTTGTTTATGTGTTTTTGTTGTTTGAACTGGAATATTTTTAACATCACAGTGACTTTCATAAACAGAACATTTGAGAGAAAGCTTTTGAAAGCAACACATTTTAATAATTTCCTCAATTTTCCCCAAATTTCCTGCAGTGAAGATCATTTCAGACTGTTTGCTTAGTTACTGTTGTTATGCCTGTATGTATGTCAATAAAGAGCTCTGACAGGAACTTGTAGCACATTAATACAAACAGGAATGATGATGATCCAAAAAATCTAATAAAAAGACCACAGAACTGTGAATAAATCAGATGAAAAGATAGAAGAGAGAACAGAATTACATTATTGAATCAAACTAGAGCTCAACAGTGACAATATGTTTAATATATTTAGAGCTCTTTATAACCTTGAACATAGATGTGTGTCTCTCTGGTCTGGTTGATGTCCTTCTGTTGGACTCTACAGGTGAAGTTGTTGCTGTGTCTCTTCTCCACAGTCACTCTGCTGCTGACAGTATAGAGGTCATCAGGACCTCTGACTGTCTCTGTAGGTCCAGCAGAGAGGAGGTTTCCCTCACCGTCCAGCCAGACCCAGACTCAGAACTGGCACTGATTGGAAGATCAAGGTAACGTGGTAGAATGACATCATCACCAGCCAGGGCTACGATTGGTTGATGTGAACAAATCAACTCTGACTGCTCTGCAACGCAAACTAAAGAACAAACAAGAAACAGTAGTATAGTTATAATACATGTCATCAGACTGAATGGATTCATTTTTAGTTTCTAAAAGTAAGAAAACATTTAATAAAACTGCATCAAAAACAAAGAAAACATTGTTAAAATGTTTGTGGAAGTCTTTTTGTCTCTTTCTAATTTTTTCTTGTTGACCACAGTTTTTTTCCCTCAGTCGATATGTGACATTATGTGTAACTGAAGAGGGAGACTGTGAATAAAATGTTCTGTATCAGGTTGGAAATATTGCATTGGATCTCATTAAATGTTCTTCACAGAGTTTCCCAGAGAGTTAAATCTATTGACCTTAGTTCAATGTGAAATGTCTCAACAACTAAAATTTGTTTTTTCTAATTATTAATGTAGAAACTACCTGTTAAACTCTGTATTAGAAGAATGATAATAAGCACAGGAATGTGGGTCCTGAAGAACTGTCCAATGAGCAGCATCTGAAGATAAAAAAAAGTCTGGTAGTTTAAAAACAACACACAAATAAGTCAAATGTCTTTAGTGGAAAAAGAGGTTGAACAGGGCAGAAACTAGAGTTGATTTTAGTTTGTCTTTGGTTTCACTGTCTCATAGCTCATTTGGATTGAGAGCTAATGTCATAGTCAATAACACTTCAAATAAGAATAATTTATTAAGGTAAAGGATGCACTGAAGCACTAAATGCTGCAGGACACTTTTAAAGGGAGAGAGAGACTCAGTGTAGACTGAGACAGGTCAAGGTCAAAAACAGATGACAGACATTTTGTTAGGATATTTTATAGGATTTGGGGTCACTTAGAAATGTCATTCCACTATAGAGAAGTGGGAGGCCCCAGTGCACAACTGAGGAAGAGGACAAGTACATTAGAGTCTCTAGTCTGAGAAACAGACGCCTCACAGATCCTCAACTGGAAACATCATTAAATGGTACCCGCAAAACACCAGTCTCTACATCAACAGCAAAGAGACGACTTCAGGATGCTGGCCTTCTAGGCAGAGTCTCAAAGAAAAAGCCATATCTGAGACGGGCCAATTAAAGGAAAAGATTAAGATGGGAGAGGGAGGGAGAGACTTCACAAAGTTGTGACGTGCATATGTAGACTAAACTGCTGAATTTTGTAGACTATCTGTGTGATGATGAGTGAGATAAACTGTGGTAAACACAGATAGTGCACACATTAATCTCATACCTCAGACTGATTCATTTATAGGCTGGATGTAATTACAAACATTAAAAACAACCATGACATAAGACCGATAACATGAGGATTTTGGACCTTCTATTGACGTTTGCAGTGTTTTGTCACATACATTGCCATTCCCTATAGTGCTTGCTTTGAACTCATTTACACATTTGAGAGCCCTGTGAATCTAGAAAATGCAGGAGACCCTACTGGTTCCAGAGGAATACATAAATATACATCACAGGATTTAGTTTACATCAGAAACAGCGAGCTTTGAACCCGCCATCGCAACCAGTCTCGCGCAGGGGAATATCACCTGTTCATTCAAACTCGAGTGTACTCCGTTAGTGTGCGTGGTCGCCTTTATAACCTGTCACCATGACAGCGAATAATAGTTCTGTAGTGAGGAGCAGACACCAAAATGAATGTCCCAGCAAAGTGTTTCTATTGCAGTGTTTCAAAAGTCACCAACAGATAAATGTCATAGGTTTGAAGTAGTCACAATCTTAATTTCCTGGTTAGGCAATAAGGGCTCCTGAAAGCCAAGCATACGCACACCTGGACCCATCCCTTGTAAATTTCCCCTTGGGGATGAATAAAGTATCTATCTTCCATTAGTCCATAATCAGGAATTAATGGACTTCATGGAGGCAAATGCACCTCGTCTGGCATTATCCCTCAACAGAAACAACATAGAACATTTAATTTATCACATTAAATCTTCAAGTTTTAAATGACTCTTACCTGCAGAATGAGGAATGCAAACTTTCCACTGTGATGTTGGTTCTCTCTGACATAAATAAAGTACTCTGTCAGCTGTCTGACTACAGAAAGAGTTAACTGTAAATTTGTGAAAACCCTCCTGCAATAAGAACCACAAACTCCGTCTGTGTCAGAGTCCTCTGTTGATGATCTGTTACAGATATTGTTGAGAAATCAGGACAACACAGATTGAAAGTGGCTGAGATCTTGTGACGCACTTAACAAAAGATTCATTAAGATCCAAAAAAGGTGTTAAAAAACCTAAAACAATGATCACATCTATTTAACAGAAAATAGTAGCCAACAAAAGCACAGCCACCACCCTCACCCTGCACATTGCAGGTAAAGGTGTTCAATGTCAGTGCCCTCACCCACAGAGCCGGTTCTTCCACTCCCTGCTGTCAACTGAGAACTCACACAGCCATAACAGGTCTGGAATCAGTCCTGGTGATATATGGGGGTGACTGCAGTCCTCACAGACACATCAATTCAAAATAAGATAATAATTGTCTAGTCTCACTGTCAAGTTTAGTTACAGCTCTGCAATGTGAAATTATTGATCAGATATTGCATTTAAATGTTGATTAGCTGGACATATTGGGCAAGGTGGATGCAGATGTCTCAGTATTCAGTCAAACTATAGTATAAACAGAAGTTTCTATTTGACATGTGTGTATATAGATCTATCCATCTATACACAACACTCAACAATGAATCAAACATTAAAGTCAGTTCTGAACAGGTGGGTTTTGATCAGTGCTTTTAAAGTGGACGGATTGGTACAGTCTCGGATGTTTTTGGGGAGTCCCAGATGGAAGGGGGCAGCTCACCCCAGGGACCGTGCTTGGTCCTCAGTGGTGGAGACAGGAGGCTGGTCTCAGAAGAGCAGAGGCTTTGCAGGGCGGCTGTGGCTCAGAGGTAGAGTGAGTCGTTCCACTAATCGGAAGGCTGGCGGTTCAATCCCTGGCTCCTCTCACTGCATGTTGAAGTGTCCTTGAGCAAGACACTGAAACCTCATTTTGCTATGAGTGTGTATGAATGATTAGTTTCCTAACCCTAACCCTGGATGTACTGAAGTTTCTTAAAGACTTTGAAGGATGTACCATACAAGATCCTGTTCCAATAGTCTAGTTTTTCCAGGTAGAAGAAGGCAATTCTGGGGATTTGGTTGATGTGGTGTTCAAAGGAGATGTTGCTGTTGGAGGGAGACAGTGTGGTGCTGTCAATGGTGAAGCAGAAGTTGTTTCTGTTTTAAGATGAAGGATTTTGGACCGATGAAGATTATTTCAGATGTGTCACAGTTGAGTTTGAGTCAGGCAGTGTGTCAGAGTGGATTGGGTTGTGTTGGTTATGGATTAAGTGGAGATGTAGAGCTGGACATCATCAGCATAACAGTGGATGCAGAGACCATGACGACGTATGAGGTTACCAAGGGGGAGAATGTACAGGATGAACAGGAAATTCATCGGCTGCACATGATGTCGGTTCAGCTCACGTCAATCAATATTATAGCAGCGTTGCAGATACCAGTGGTTTGTTATGGGCCCTAAACTGCTGCGGGCCCCTGTGCAACTGCATCATCTGCATATACAGAAGTTACGCTGCTGGTAGACCAGGAAAAGATGGAGAATATCCTCCAGTGTCACAATGATTTCCTCCTCGTTCTCAGACCCTTCACAAGCTTTTTAGTCCACGTCGTTCAACGCTGCGTCTCTCTGTGTTTTAAAGTGTCTTCAGTGTTATTTCCTGCTCCTGATGTTTCCTCTGACTGCGACCTCTGAACTCTGTCCAGTTGCTCTCTCTGGTCCTCCTGTTGCTACTTTCCATCCACTAAAAATTGAGCTGCATTCACATTTACATTATGCTTCTGGACTTTTGGCTTTCCTTCAAGCATTAACATTGCCTCTTTCACACCATGTGTTACATCTCCTTCCAGTTTAATTAAATTCCTCAGGATCCACTTTGTGCCTGTGAACCAACAGAAACAGGAAAGTGTTGAAGTTGTTGTGTTCATGTGTTTTTGTCTAATCAATGAATGAGTGTTAAAGTGAGAAAACTACACAAGCAGAACAAAAATATGATAATTGAACTGGAATATTTTTAACACATTTTCTTGTATTTCCTATATTTTCCCCAAATTTCCTGCAGTGAAGATAATTTCAGATTCAATTAAATTCAATTTTTGTTTGCTTAGTTAATGTAGTTATGCCTGTATCTATGTCAATAAAGAGCTCTGACATTAACTTGGAATAAGTGGTGAAATGGGCTGCAATCCATTCCTCAGATGTTTGCATATGACAAACTCATACCAGTTATACTGCTGGTAAATTACAGCACAATAACACAGTTAATGTGCAGTACAACAAAAATAATAAAACAGTTATTGGATAGTGTGTTTTTGTAGATGTCCTCACAAGACCATTATAGTGTGATTTATCTTCATGTGTTTGTGTGTAATTCACCTCCAGAAGAGTGTTTGGTGAAAGAGTGACAGTGTGAGAAAAGATCAATGTGCACTGAAGTCACTGAGCTCAGGTTTCAAGATGAGTTTGTGAATCATCTGAGTAAGTAAGTCGACTCAATTCAAACCATCTAAAAAGTCCGACATAACATAACACCCACTGAGCTGAGTCTCAGACTTTCTTGAAGGCAGTGGAATCACTGATTGTAATTGTTCAGACGTTTGTTGAACCCAGTGGTGGTTTTGTTGTTTATATAAACTCCTGAACAATGTGATTTTATTGTTTATTCGTCAAACATTGCAGTTAAGACACAAATACATTACCATAGCATCCACTACTGTAGCCACATGTATGACACAATACTGCAGAAGAAGATTGATGACTTAATCTAGAAACACACTATAAATAAAAGAATCACTAAAATAATGTATTAAGAGTTTCATGTAAAAATCCTACATTGTTGTATGTGTGTGTCAGGGAGCCTCAACTGAGAATACCTGCACGGTCCGATAAACAACGTGTACTTTCACATCCACTCTGAGTCAGATAACGTGTGTTATGACTTCATATTAACTTACAGTTTAGGTTTTGTGGCTTTTAGAGTTGGAGGCTCCATGAACAATGTTGTCTTTGTGCTTTTTAAGCCTAAAACACAGTTTGTGTGTTCATATGTCTGACTACAGACACACTGAGTTAACAGCCACAGCTGTAAATACTTGAAACCACTGATATCATCACCAGTTCACAGTAATCATACAAAACTTCTTTGTCATAAACTTTATTTTCCTTTTTTCTTGATCACCTGATCACTGATTGGCTCTCGTTATCACTCCACATTAACCGGACTGAGTTCACCTGATCACTCCTGATTTAAAGGCTCTGATTGGTGCATGTGCCAGCAGTTCTGGTAAGAGGAGGTTGTCTTATTCTTTAGTTCTTATGTGTTCATGTTACTTTAACTGAGAACTTTATTTATCCTGAATTATTTAAGATGAACATGTGACAGTTCTAATTTTATGTTTGCAACCTTCATAATGCAACTTTGAGTTTTAGAGAAAATAAACTTTGTTCAGAGGGTTGAAGTTTTCTGTCTTATTCCTGCATCCTGATCCGACGCCCATGGTGATAGTCAGTTTATCATTGTCATTCTGAATCTTCTCATTTACAATCTTTACAATGAATGAAACATGAGTTACTGATATATTATGCTCCACCTGGCCTTTTACATCAAACCAGATGTGTCTAGTCAAAAAATATTTAAAATGGTTTTAAAATAATTATAATAGAAATCGATTTCATGCTGTTTTATTTGTGGGAACTTCCTCTTACCATTTTGCATCTTATAACACCATACAACGGGTGTTTGCTTTCAGCCTGTTGATCATCATTAAGTTTCATGCAGTTCCTGCCTTAGACACTCACTTCAGGTAATATAAGGAAAAACACCTCAAAAAAACAATTAACAGAAGAAAAAGGAAGCAACCTCAGGAGGATCCATAGAGGAGGGATCCTTCTCCCAGGACAGACAGACATACAGCAATAGATGTCGACTGTACAGAACAAACAAAATCACTTTAGATTCAAACTTTGATGTCAGAATCTCTGATAAATATGAAATGTAAAACCTGCCGTATCTTAGAGCCTGAATGTTGGTTTGATTCTTATTTTCAGGTGATTATACACTAATGAAAACATAGTTATTATCTTCCATCTGTGCCAGTAGATCCTCCTCAATGTTACACACTGGACCTTTCATTGATTCAACCCTCATCAGGGGTTAAACAGAGGGAGGTTTGGTCTCCAACACTTTAACTATTTGAATGCACAAGTCAGCTCATTTATACAGACTGAGGTATAAAGTAAACACTGTTGAGTGTTTAGTTGTGTGTCTGTCAGAAAGCCTGTTGCGCCTTCTTGTGGCTGTTCATAAGGAGACATATTCCTGCAGAGGAAGAGGAGAGCTGCTGATAGAGGATGAAGCAGTTAACTGCAGACATGAAGAACAGACTGACTGAGTCTCCTGGAGGATGAACACCTGGATCAAAAACATCTGGATAAAATCAGGAGTCATGAAGTAAAGTGACACACAGTCCTGTCGTGTCTCCAGTTTATTCTGCTCTGCAGTTGATGTGGATCAGGTCTCATGTTTAGAGATATTTTAGATGAGTGAATAAATGTTGTAAACGCAGAAAATAAAAGTTGCCTAATATACATGATGATTTCCTGTCATCTATTTATCATCTAAAATCTATTAAACCATCAGAGTAACACATTCACTAGTGTAACTGTGTGTCTTTGTAAGTATTAGCACAGTTCACATATGAACAGACACAAACTACATTAACATCAATCACTGCAGCCTGTCTGTGCTGGACTACAACCACTGCTGTTACACTCTTTCACAAACACTCTCACACTCTCTCTCTTAATTTAATATGATTTTAATTTTCTTTAAAAAAAATGGAATTAAAATAATAAAATGAATCAAGAAAACATAAACATTAAGAATACATTTAATAAAGAAACTATTAATTAAATACAAAACAACAATTGCAGTTGAATAGGGGACAGGGAAATACTGGTGAAAAGAACATATGTGTGTGTGTGTGTATGTGTGTGTGTTCCATATGTACAAGATATTGATTTGTCTTATTCAGTAATTATATTTTAATGTCTGTCCCTCAGTTTGTGACATTTTGTCGCTCTATGTTTGCTGCATGTCCCTCTCCCAATATAATCTTTTGTTTGTTATTGTCGATTAACTCTTTAAAGTTTGGAATTGTTGGATTAAATGTTTTAAAGTATTCAAATGTGATTTTAAGAGAAAGTGTATCTCTGTCTCAACCTCACCTGTTGCACAGTGCCAGGACTTCTTGTGTCTTCCTTTGTCTGTGACTAGACTTTGGTCACATAAACCTAAATCAGACCCTTTTTCTTATGAAATAAAAGACAAATTGACATTTTTAAATGACAAATGAATTACAGATTATCCAATGATACCCAGACCAGCCCTGTCATTGCTTTCGGCTTCAGCATTTTGAGGTTATGTTGGTTCAAGTTCATCAGAAAGTAACTAATGCACACACACACACACACACACACACACACACACACACACACACGCACACACGGCACAGCAGCAGCATCTGGAGCCATTTGGGGTACAATATCTTGCCCGAAGACACTTTAAAATGCCGACTGGAGGGAATCTAACCACCAACTTTCTGATTAGTGGACGACACCCACTACGTCTGAGCTCTGACAGCCGCCTACCCGGGTAGAGCAGAAAAAGATGAAGAATATGCTCCAGTGTCACAATGATTTCCTCCACTCTTCTTTTCTACGACTTTCTAGTTCTCCATCACTACAGGAAGTCTTTATTCAACGTCGTTGAATGCTGCATCTCTCTGTATTTTCAAGTGTCTTCTGTCTCTCGTCTTCAGTGTTATTTCCTGCTCCTGATTCTTCTTCTGTCTGTGATCTAAAATAAATTCTTAACTGCATTTAGCTTCTTAGTGACTTTTGGCTTTCTTGCGATCATGGACCTTTTTTACAGCTTGCTGTTCATCTTTTTCTTCCTCTGTCAGTTCATTTTCTTTATCCTGGTTCCTTCCTAATGCCTGTGTTCAAACAGAAACAGGAAAGTGTTAAAGTTGTTGTGTTCATGTGTTTTTGTCTAATGTGTTAAAAGTGAGAAAACTACACAATCAGAACAAAAATATGATAATTGAACTGGAATATTTTTAACATCACAGTGACTTTCATAAACAGAACATTTCCAAATGAGAGAAAGCTTTTGAAAGCAACACATTTTCTTTTATTTCCTCCATTTCCCCCAAATTTCCTGCAGTGAAGATCATTTCAGACTGTTTGCTTAGTTACTGTTGTTATGCCTGTATGTATGTCAATAAAGAGCTCTGACAGTAACTTGGAATAAAAAAGGAAAATAAATATGTGACTTACATATTATCAGAGTGATAATGAGCAGCACAATAATACAAACAGGAATGATGATGATGAGCACATCGATGCAAAGAAGAATGATGATCCAAATCCAATCATAAGACTGAACTGTGAATGAATAATCTGAAAAGGTAGAACAGAGAACAGAATGACATTATTGAATCAAACTAGAGCTCAACAGTGACAATATGTTTAATATATTTAGAGCTCTTTATAACCTGGAACATAGATGTGTGTCTCTCTGGTCTGGTTGATGTCCTTCTGTTGGACTCTACAGGTGAAGTTGTTGCTGTGTCTCTTCTCCACAGTCACTCTGCTGCTGACAGTATAGAGGTCATCAGGACCTCTGACTGTCTCTGTAGGTCCAGCAGAGAGGAGGTTTCCCCTCACCGTCCAGCCAGACCACCTCAGGCTCTGGATACCAGCCTTTAGACTCACACTGTAGAACTACACTTCTACTGTTATTGGAGACAACCTCTATGATGGGAGTGGAGACGACACCTGATGAGAAGAGAGGAGGAATATCAAACAGTGGATTCAGATCCAACAAATAAATCACAGCACTGTTTTTTTTGTGTCTTATCATGGCTGCTTACTTCTAATATAAAGTTACATTACTGATCTTTGCAGTCAGCAGAAATGTGTAATTCATCATCTTCAGAAAGTCTGACTTACCAACAGTGAGTTGGATGGAAACTTTCTTCAACATTGGTTCAAGGAAGCAAAAGTATTTTCCTGCATCAGAGATTTTTACTCTGAAGATTTTCATGGAGACGTTTCCATTCTGCAGTTCATCCACAAACAGTCTCGTTCGGAGAAAATAAGATGGATTTTGAATTCGATGCATCAGTCGTCCATCTTGGTGAACATGGATGTACTTTGGGTCTAAACCAGGTCTGGTCCACACCACTGTCTCAGAACTGGCACTGATTGGAGGATCAAGGTAACATGGTAGAATGATATCATCACCAGCCAGGGCTACGATTGGTTGATGTGAACAAATCAACTCTGACTGCTCTGCAACGCAAACTAAAGAACAAACAAGAAACAGTAGTATAGTTATAATACATGTCATCAGACTGAATGGATTCATTTTAACTTTCTAAAAGTAAGAAAACATTTAATAAAACTGCATCAAAACTAAATCCTAAATATTGTCACACACACACACACACACACACACACACACACACACACACACACACACACACACACACACTCAATGTGTTACTGGACTGTTTCTATGTGTAAATTACCTGTTAAACACTGTGTTAGAAGAATAATGAAAACCCTGCAGGTCCTGAAGGACAGTCCATCACAGAGCTCTGTCTTTGGATACAGCATTGTAGACTCCTGAATATAAAGAAAGACACAAACCTTTAGTCTACTTGTTTAAAATAAAATAATAAATAAATAAAAACAAATGTATTTAGTGGAAAATGAGGTTGAACAGGGTAGAAACTCTAGAGTTTATTTTAGTTTCTGTTTGGTTTGGTGTTTTTGTGATCTGTTGTTCTCACATCCTCATCTAACCTCCTCATGGACAGTAAAGTACAAACACGCAGTCACATGCTGTTGTCATCACATCGATATACTAGTGGAAACGATTAATACCAGATATTATGTGTGATATACATTTTCTTTTCTTAATCTTTCTGAACATCGTTTTTCCTTTAAAAATAGAGTTCAAAGCTTTCAATAAAAGGTTTGTAAAATAAATGATAACAATATAAAAATACAGACTCAGTGTCTACGTAACAGTGTGAGTCCACTTTATATAGACTATAATGATATCACAATAAACAACACAGAGAGTTTGTCCATAAAATAATCTGCACATTGTTATAACAGTCAAAGAATGAAATGATGACAAATCCAACATTTAACATTCAAGTTTTACTTTAAAAGAAACTCTGACTTACAGCGTGATGGATGCAAACTCTCCACTGTAATGTTGTTCTGTTCTGACAGGAAATGAGGATATACAATGACTTTATCCAATTTCGGTAAGTTTCAATCTGGTTTTGAGTTCCTCTATTGATTTCTCTAAAGAGTTGCTGAGTTCAGTCAGTATTATTTAACCACAGGGTGTAACTGAACATTGAATGAATGACTAATAATCAGGTTGTTAGAGTAGTTTTCATATAAAGTTTAGTCCTGTTCATACTGTGTTTACAGACATTCCAACTTCTTCTGCACAGAAACAAATTTAAAAAGATTGCCTTCTTCCTCATGACTCTTGTAGCTGCACTGATAAACTCAGAGTTCACTGAACCAGTTAACAACCAGCTTTATGAGACCACTTATCAGGATCACCAATGTGAAGACAGGTACCCCAAAGAGAGCCACACTGAGTTCAACTGGATTCATGATACAACCTTATAAAACAGATTATTCAGCATTGTCAATGAAAGAGAGTCTGAGTTAGTGGAACTTGTTCTGTGAGACCAGGTTCAGCTGAATGGAGGAGGGGACGATGTTAAAGAGTCCTCTGTGCGGTCAGTCAGCATCCAGAATGTGCTGAGTGATGAATAAACAACACAAATGAAACCAAGGCTCAGTTACAAAACAAGAAAAGAGGAAACATTTTTCTCTCCTACTACCACACGTCACAAGTTCGAAGTAACACCAAACACAAAATTATACAATCTAATATAATGTATATAATCTAACTCGCAAGATTGGATTAAACTGTCTATGTGTACTTCTGTTGGCACACTCGCTGGCCTTGAATTGCCCCTTGAGGGACAACTAAAGTATTTTGAGTTGAATATCAGTCTGTGACACCCCTTCATATAGAATTAAAATAAAAAGACTATTTCTGTTTTTACAAATCTATTTTCTTTGGCACAAAATGATGAGAAAGGTCAAAGGTGCCTGAATATGTGTGTGAAGGGTTCATAAGCAGGGCAGCAGCATTTATTTGATATGATGTTAGTTATGGAAACTTGAATGTCGAAGTGACCCTCCTGTGAGAGGACAGCACCAGCAGTCTTATGGAAGTCTTACAAAGAGGAATCATGAGTGATCAGTTCCTCTTCACCAAATACAGAATAATCAGAATCAGAAACCAGTGAAAAGAATGATTCCCAAATATACACGAAAAAGTTTTATTGAATTATATATTTACATATTTACACACAATAATGAAACCAAAAATAACTCTTTGATAATAAAGGTTGCTGACTCCTGATCTGTGCACATATTTTGATCCAGTCACATCTATCAGTTTGTTTTACTGTATGAAGAACTCTTTAAAGCTGCCTTTCTGTATGAATTGTGTCTCTTGCTGTATTATGAGGGCGTCCTCTCTGTGTCCATCTTCTTCATTCTCTGAAGTATCCTCTCCAACTCCTCTGTCTCCTCCATTTTCACACCGACTCCTGACTCCTTTCTGTCTTTCTACTGATGTCACTTTTGGTTTTCGTGGTTTTCTGTCTTTTGTATCTTCTTTGTTTGTTCTGTCTCTCTCTTTCTCCTGCTCATTCCAGATGTGTACAGTCCTTTATTTCTTCCTCCTGAAGTTTTCTCTGTTGGTCTGCACTCTCTCTGTCTTCCCCGGTTGCTCTCTGGTTCTCCAGTTCCTCTGTTTGTACAGACAATCCAGATAACTCTAGACTCTCTGTCTCAGTGTTTCTTTTGTCTTTCTTCATGCAGACTGTGTGCAAACAGAAGAAGAAATCTATTCATGTGTTCATACAGTTTTTTCCTTACAGAAACAAAGAACTTGTGAAAATGATGAAACTAAAGAAGCAGAACAGAAATATGATGGTTGAGTTGAAAATGAAAGGAGAAAAGACATTTACTTTCATTACAGCTGTGATAATATCAAAAGATTTCATTCCAACGTGAGAATTGAAGCTCTTGAGCCTCCTACTTTTCTTCTCAGTCCTCATATTAGTGATGGTCAGTGTTCCTGCACTGCAGTATTTGTTACACTGATCCCAGCCTCCTCTGTAACAGCACCCAGAACAACCAGTAAGAGTCACCAGTTCACTGACAAACACATACACATGGGAACAACAGTTGTGCTGAATGGTGCCGAACCAAAACAGACGACAAGATATCAGCACATGTTCAGCTGTCCATATTTACCACAGTGGTAACTGAGGGCAGAATCACAACAAATACCAACCTTAGAGTTGCTTTAAAGACAGCCTGTGGTGTTTCTGACCTCTGTAAGTGCTGTGAAACAATGTCTTCATCAGTGGCTCTCTGTTTGTGTTACCTTGTGATCTACAGGTGGCAGCAAACGCAGCAATGGACCTGCAAAGGCAGGAAGACGATTGAACTGTTGTCTGTGTAGAATAAAACTCCACAGGACACCTTTCAGGTTTTTTTCCAGTCAATGTTGATTTTAATCTGACTTTACATTGTTAAGTGTTCATGAATTGTTTTACTTTGTCTTCTTTCTGTTGTATCATGGCTGCTTACTTCTAATACAAAGTCCTCATAGTGTCTGAACCTGGAGACGTGAGAGCAGCACACATTATAGGAGCATGAAGAGGAAGATGCAGTGACACTAATATTGAACCTTTATTTATCAGCAGGGGGCGCACTAACCTTTCTTTCTAATATCAGAGAGCTTAAAGTGAGTGTAAAGGTTTCTGTTCAATAAGGAGTCACCCTGTGTTTTATTACATTGTTAAATTACTTTAAAGGTTCCAGATGTAAAGTCAAATAGTGTCTGAATTACTGACAGTGTTGAAAATGACCACAATGACATAATAAATGAGAGTATGATCTATTGATGGATAGAAAAATGTTTAGAAATTGACTGATTGAAATTTACTCTGAAAAGTAACTCGTAGAGTGTGGAAACCGGACTGTGAATGCACAGGAGGTGGAAGAGGGAAGTGTCATAGGACTTTAATGATTATGACAGGGGGTGCATCATCATGTCAACACGTCTCCTCGTTTCGCTCACTCGATTCCTTTCCTCACGTCTTAGGTCCTCCTAGAGAGGAGGTGAGCTGCCAAATGAGAAATCCTTCATCCTTCTTCAGTAAGCGACCTCAGATACTGATGACATACTGCACAGCTGTCTGTCAAACTGGCACCAACGTCCAAAGAACCCCTCAAGAACTATTTTAAAACGACACAGTATTCATTTAGATGTGTAAATTGTTTAACATTGCCAATTTAAGCAGCATTATTACTGTAGTTGATCATTTTTGTGTTATCAGTTATGATTACTTTGGTTATGCAGCCTGTTTACTTGGATTATTGTTATCTGCACAATAACACAGCAGAGAGCTGCATAACAACTGAAATTAAAGGTACAACTGCTACTTTGTGTTTTTGTAGGATCATCCTGTCAGCCATGATGACCACCAGCTTTTGTTATCTGTTATCTGCTTTTCCATCTGCACATCTGTCCACGGCCTTCCTCATTTCCTCTGCCGACGCCCTTTGGATTTTCTTCTACGACACCCGTTATAGGAGCATTATTGTATTGTATTGTATCCAAGTATACTGTACCAGGATCTTCTCTGATGCAATATTTTTTATGTGTAAAGCTGAGATACAATTGTAACAGCTCTCAGAAAGCGGTACATTAAAACCTGAGCCCCATTTATAGAATTTGTGCAAAGTACTGTTTGTTTGTTTTTAAAAAGGACAAATTGAGTTATTATGTTTCCTTTCATCCAATTGAAAATTGACCGAAAACTGTAAGTTGTTTAGTCACTTTGAGGCTGCAGCACATTTGTTACTGAGTTCATTATTTGTCTGTTCACAGGGGCCCCATGAAGAGATTTTACATACAACCTAATCGACCCATTCAAAGCTTTAAATAACTCATATAATCATATTTTACAGATGGATTTTTAAACCTTACATTAACTTCTTTAGTTAAAATAAATGTTCATTCAATGCTACAAACTGTCTGTCTGTCCAGTGCAGACTGAAGGCTGTTTCTGTTTCATATAATGATCATTATGTGTAAAATGGATTACACTGATTGATACAGAGTCTCTCTGGATGTTGCCTCAAAGAAGAAAAGCAAAATAAACTGTTGTATTAGTACATTGTAAATAAAATGTACTTAATGTGCTAATATTGATAAATCTTAAGCTAAAGCTAAGCTAAATAAAAAGCTCAGGAACTTAAAGTTAAATGTGAACATTTGTAAAATATCCTCCAGTGTCACAATGATTTCCTCCGCTCTTCTTTTCTGCCACTTTCTGGTCATTTTGGTCTCTACAGTTCTGTCATGGGAACGTTTTCCTCAACTGCATTTTGCATTTTGCTTCTTTGGGATCTTTTTTTAATTCTTCTGCTTCCTCTTTGTGTCTGTGAGCCAACAGAAACAGGAAAGTGTTGAAGTTGTTGTGTTCATGTGTTTTTGTCTA